CTGAATAATAAATATTATATATTATTTAAGTTGTGTGAAAAAACAAAGTCAAAGAGTTATGATACGTGTAACCTTATACGTAGTGACAAATGAAATTACTTGCTTAAACTAATATGCAATTGGCATCACCAAACAAGTTTTCAAATCGTGCTCAGGACTTCTCTCAATTTGCATTACGAATGACAAATTTTCTTTTTTAGTTGAATTTCTGGAATTCTAATTTGTAGAAAATGAAAAAATTAAGATTGATTCTGATTTTTAAAGATCAATTCTATTAATTAAGGAATTATAAGATTAGTTTTGACAACAATTATTCATACACAAAAAACAATGAAGCAAATTTATTCTGTTGCCACTTTCTTTTCCCTCAATTAATAAGTCGAAATGTAAAAGAACAGACAGGTTTTTCTTTATCGTCTGACATAATTTTTTATTAGAATTTGTTTCGCCTTTAAAATAAAAATGGAACGCTTCCTTAATTAAAAAGAAAACTTTTAAAACTATGTGTTTGTGTGGTCATAAATTGCACTAAATACGTGCATTAAACTTTTAATGTGAAACTAACAAGGCAAAACTTATGACTTTTGATTGTAGAATATGTAGAAGGAAGAAGGAATTCTGAAACCATAAGTAATTAACTGTGCGAGTATTTAACAATAAATAACCTAAAAAAATATCTTGTGATGTGAAAACAAGTATGAAATGCTCTATTTACATATATTAAACTAATTTAAATCTCCTATGAATTTTTATTAAGGTTATAAATGTCTGACGAAATAATACTAATAAAAAATTCGAACTTATTTCGAATAAACTGAAAATCAAAAACGTTATAGTTATTGAAGTGCATTGTTTTGTTGCAAAATTATGATTCATCTTAATTTATCTTTTTTCCCCATGAAATGATCACGTACATCATCAGTTTTCGCCAATCCAGAGACTTTTAACGACTTTAATAGAATATCTGTGTCTTTATTAACCGATAAATTCTGTTTGAGGAATTAAAAATTCGAGATTTGAAATCATGCAGAAAATAAAGACTGTTGTTACATTTATTATTATAAACACAAATGTGCATACATTAATTTTGTAAATGTAATCATATTTATATGGAATATTAAAATTTTTTTTAAAGTAAAAGAAATCGCTGATGTGTTTTGAATACGAACTAAGGGCATTAAACTAATTCTGTACTAAATTATATTCTGTCGTATGTAATTTTAAGAAAGTTTTTTTTATATAAAAAAAAATCTTAATGAAAGAAAACCTAAACTATAATAGTTTAGTTTAAAAAAAAAACTTAAACCATTTATCACAAATGAATTGAAGAATCTTTTCTTCATCGCAAGTTTAAATTTTCCCTCAAAATAAATCATAAATGCATATATTAGTATAAGTATCAACTAGTGTCTATTGCCTGTTAATAAAAATGTTTTGAATATGGAGAAGTTAGAGATGTTACTTCTTTTATAATTATATAAGAAAAACCACTCATTTTTAGAGTTAAAATGTGATTTAACATGTAATTTGCTTATAGCTTTTTGTACAATTTTTCTTAAACAGTAATTGAAAGTTCAGCTTCAAAAAAGATTAAAGTACTTCTAAGAGAGAGAATTTTAAGAGTAAAAATTCTCAAATGTAAAAAATTTACTTTTATTTTTAATTGCAACTTCTCTCATAAATCTAAGTTTTTTAAATTTTTTCTTATGGTTCTAAAAGGGAAGATGCATTTCAATTTAGTCTTCGATAAAAAAAATAATAAACAGAACACACATGGTGATTATTTCAATTTCAACTTAAAACAGTTTACTTACAAAAAATTAACAACTAAGTAAAATTAATTTTAAAAAACGCTATTTTAATTTAAAACATTGAATTGTTTTTAAAAGATCTCAACAAAGAATTATTTTTTAAGTGAAGAAAAATTATACGTTGTGTGTGTTCCAGAAAATGGAAAAATAATTTGAATAAAAACAGGAAATGAAATAAAATGAAAACCACACACGAGAATTGTCATTGAGATAAAAGCATTTTTGCAGCAAAATTTTAAAATGATGAAACGGCTAACTTATTTTAATTAATATGCAACACATTTCAATACATAAAATTAACGTATTAAATTAATTACTTTAATAAAACTAATTGAAGTATTTGCTGATTTGATGTAATTTTTTATTCCTACCAAAAAAACCTTTAAAACCGTACTTAACATTTTTTTTTTAAAAAAGCACTTAACCTTTTTTAAAGAACGAAATATGCAACACACGTCTTATAATATATTTTTGGGTTCAAATACAAACCTTACAAAAATAAATGAAATTTTTGTCCAGATGACAAGTCTCGCATAAGAAACAACAGAAGGTTTCAAGAGGGATCGTAACTTTAATCAAAAAACATACAAGGTACCATTCAGTATTTCGAATCTATGCGCATTTTCCCCTTCTATTTTCATTTTTTTATATCTTTTTTTATACGTATGTACAGTCAATGTACTTGAAATTTTACTCACGTTCTGTCTTAATTTTCTTATTTTTAGTGGCATTGCATAAATTTGATCTTTCCTGTTGCCACTTATATCCCCACATCACGAAAATGAAATTATTTTAACGATTAAGAAGTTGTTAAATTCATTCGAAGAGGTACTGTTTTTACAATTCAGTAATTTCTGATTGTATTTTATTGAATTTTCTCTGCGTTAATTTTATTTTCTCAGAATGTTTTATAGAATTAGCTTATTGTAATGCAGAGCCATATCGAGTGATAATTTGATTGCGTTGGTATACTTCTGTGTTTAATTCTCATTTTCAATTGTTATGATAGAAAGTTGTGTATGAAATTATCGATTCAAGTAACGATACAGGAAAGCTAAAATCGTGATAATGTTTGCTATTCATAATTTTAATTCAAATCGATATTTTTTTCGAGTTAAAATTTGATAAATTAGTTTCATAGTATACTTAAATTATACATTACTGTTATTTAAAAAATGATCTCTGAAAAACATCCCCTGTTCGCTGGGTTTTACGTGATATTTCAATGACATAGAATGTTTACACGCTTTTATTAGCTTCACCTGTATGTAACGGAATCTTTGAACTCGATTTTTACCCACTTTAAAAGGTAAGATTAATTCAAAATTTTGCACACTTGTCAAGGACCGATGACAATACAATAATTTAATAATTTTGCTTTATTGTCCTGATCAGGATCATCAGGATTAACGATTTACCCACGTCCGGACCCCTGAAAGCCCTTGATTTTTCTTCTTCGATTGATTATAATCCTATATAAATTGTACGTAAAATTTTATCAAGTATTTGTTATTAATGATTAATATTATTAATTAATACTAATTATTTATTCAATAATTAATTTTTTACTGTTTGCTCCCGAAAGTGAACAAAATCAAAACAATATGTTGGGCGGTATATTGGTGCATGGTACGAGAATGGTGGACTTTCAACCCTGGATTCCCCCTTGAAAAAATTCTTGTGTATGCTACTGATCCACATCATAGTCTTATTAAGACTCAGTCGAGAACGAAACGTGGCCCCCACCGAGGGTGAGACCCGGGCCTTGGTAGCCCATGCCTTAAGACGTCCCTGTTTCTTGGACCTCTATAACTATATTGTCACTTATTTTTTACGTCTCTATTTACATTTCCATATCACAGAAAAAAAAACTTCACGAAAAGTAAGAACAAACCTGTTTCGCAAACAATATCAACAAACTAAAGTGCTTTGCCACCAATTTACCATAGTTGGCCACTCTCATTTTCAAATGTCGCTAGATACTCCTGTAAAAGTAGATAAAAGCTCGCTAAACTCGGGAGGAATTTCGCTAAAAATCGTAGCTAACACTCCAAAGCTATATTCCATAATACGCATTTTGTCTCTTGTCATTTTTGTGAAACTGACTCTTCATAAAAAAAAAAATATGAATAATATTCCAATTTTTATGTGGACTATTAAAACTTTTTCATGGACCACCGGTTGGCGACCGTTTTTCTAGATGAGTAAAGTTTTAATTTTTATTATTGAATAAATGAATTTAATTCGAAAATGTTAAAAATTTTCTACGCCAAACGGATTTCTGTTTTTATCGAATTACTTTCGTCGGAAAACAACTTTAATGAGCATAGCTTTGGCCATTTGCAACCCATCTTTTAACCTGTTTTTCTGTTCGCATTGAAACTCATCGCAAAGCTTGGAATCCGTAGCCGTAATATACAGCTGTACTTATTATGTAATCCTCATTATTTTTGAAATTTTTAAAGCTGATTATATTGGCTTAAGAAGCTATGAAACATGTGACTGCAGTAAAAATGTTGATTTCACCATCTAAGCCGATTTTCAAAATTACATCTGTGGTTGCCAGTGTTAAAGAACAGGAACAAACTAAGAATTTTTTTTAAATAGAAAAATATATTGATGAAACTTTAACTTTTCTGAAGTATTCAGAATATCACATTTTACTGCACTTGCAATTTTTTTTAAAATCAAACCATATTTTTTTCTGTACAAAAAACAACTGCTATATTTGTAATAAGTCATGTGACATTCGAAGCTTCAGAGCTATGCGTAGCAGAGCAGTGATCTTTATTACCAAAGTGAAAAAAAAAATGCAAATTCGCGAATAGATTAAAACTTTTCATATAAAATCTATATTTTCCCCGATCTTCCCTTTAAAAGAGAACCAAATGTTCATTCCACCTGTTGTGTGGATACTGTGTTATTCTGATCAATAAATTTCTAGTTTTAACCATTTAAAAATAAACAAGTAATATAAAAAAAATTAAGTCAATTCCTACTTAAGTCAGCAAAGAAAAATTTTATTTTATAGTTACTTTTTATTGAATAATTACAATTAATATAAATATGTATATACATATGATAGAATCACAATAGTAAGCATTTTTCCATTTCCCTTTCTATATAAGTCGTTGGACTATTATTTTTGTTTGTTACTAATTATTCATTCATAAATCACAGAAATTAGGCCATCCCAAGTAGGGCTTGAACCAACTACATTTGGATTAGAAACCCAACGCGGTATCCATTGCGGCTATAGGGACACAATGAGCGATTTTCCATTTTATATATTGTGTAGGACTATTATTTTTGTTTATTTTTATTTTATTAATTAAGTTAAACTAATGAATTAATATTTGAAAAAATGTATTAACATCAAGTATCATCCACTACAAGTTTAAAAAAAATGTATCTGAACTTGAATGGATGAATAGAAAGTATTTGATTAACGATTGAAAATTTGAACAAGATATATATAGGGAGACTGTAAACTAATAGTAGGAATTGAAAAAAAAATCGGAAATCGATAAAAATCGATTTTTTTCAGCTCTTTTGAGAAATTTGCCCAAAATGTCTAATAAGTTTATAAGACCATAAAACAAAGAAAAAAAAAGAATACTTGGGTCTTTCACAGATAGCACAAGAACAGAGTTGTGTGTGTGTGCCAGAAACTTATGCAGCGAAGTAGCCCGAAGAGGGGGTAAAAGTAGCAAAAAGTAGCGAATCTCGATTTTCACTTGCAATTCATAAATATAATTTTTTTTTAATTTTGTAAAACTACGTTAAAATGCTTTAATTATTTAATTCATTTAAAATACATTCAAATTCTTCCTGATAAGTATCGTGATCTGCTGTGTCTTTTTTTATAAATATCTGAACTATATTGTAGCATTTGTGGCGATGGAATGAAATCAACGCAGCAAGTCCCTCATTCTTCCAAAGTCATTTTAATTCTGAGAATTGACTCGAACAGTTCATGGCACATTCGATTCCTTAATTTTGTCTTTTTTGACGTCACTCTGGAAAATGCCCTTTCTACAGTGACATTACTTATGGGTAGGCTGTAAAGCTTTAAAGCAAATATAGCTATCTCTTAAAAATGGATTTCTAACTGAGTCTTTTATATTAAAAATATGACACCAAAATAATTCTCCATCTTTTAAAAGCTCAGATTCAGATAGAAAAACATCTTTCAACTGTGTGTTAAAAATTTGTCTCCATTGATTCTCCAGCACATCCTATTTAGGTTAGTCTGCTTATTCAAAAGGAAGATCATAAAATGAAGGACGATTTGAATTTTAAAAATTTATCAGGGGGAAAACTTTTTATATTTTTCAAAGTTGCATAATTTGAAGGGATTCGGTTTAAAAGTTGCTCACATGAAATCTTGAGAAAATTATGATGCCTTTGATAGATTTCTTTTGTATATTCTGGGGAAATTATTTTACTTTTGCTTATCAGTTTATTCAAAAAGACATATCCAAAATCAACTTCCTACAGCGCTCCGTGTCGTTTCGGAGTTTCCCCATGTTTTCACTGACAACAAAATTCACCAATTTTTGGTGATTTTTTCTAAATAAGTCCTTTTTTCGAACTTATTCCAATAATTTTATGTGTAGCTGAAAGTAGCAAAAAGTAGCGGGACCATCAAGTTAAGCAGCGTAAAATTCGTGAAGTAGCAATAGAATAAAGAAAGTAGCGAAAAGTTTTCAAAAGTAGCGAAATTCGCGAAAAATCGCACGATCTGGTAACACTGCACAAGAATCGTAAATCCTGTGATATTTCATTCCACAACATAGGTTCCTAAAGTGGTTCCTACGGATATCTGGGTAATTGTGTCTGCTGAGAGGGTTTGCCACAAATAAAAATTACTGTATTTACTCGAATCCAAGCTGTACTATTTTTCCAATGTTTATGCTACTGAAAATTGAGTGCGATTTAGGTGGGGGAATTCAATTTTTGTTCCCACCCTTTCAAAAGGAAAAATTTAACCGTCCATTCTGCTCACTTGCATTGATGATTCGTCCCATTCTGAAGTTTATTTCCAGTATTCAGTCTATATCCTAAACATCGTTGTGTGCCGCATTTAGGAAATTTTTTTTTGCATACACTTTCTTTTAATTAACTAAGCATCAAAGATATCGGTAACAGTATCAAGACGAGTTCACTTTGACAAAAGTATGTGAAAAGGGAGGCAGTTTTTATATGCAGAAATAAACCGAAACAGAGCAGCGGCCATTGAAAATTTGACACGGATGAAACAAATATACGTCGATCGCGTAAACAAAATGATATAATTTTTGCTTGTAAATATTCAACAGCCTTTAATAATTCTTTTACATTCTTCTATAATACATTATTTCTAAAAAATGTTGCATAACAAATGTAATGGATGGCACGGAAGACGAAGCCGTGTGAGAAATTGGCGTCACCGCCACCCATTCCGAAGTCAGCTCTGTGACATCACATTTCGAAACATGATACTGACGATTAGAGTAGACATAAGTTAATCTATGTATTTGAAAATTTTTAAAACTGGTAAAATAAATAAATCATTAACTTCTTATTATTTCTCATTTAATTTTTTTTTTTAAATATTTCTTAAATATTGGAGATTGATGAGTCTTTTGCACAATTTTTTAATTTTTTTTCTCAAAAACGTATAGAAAATTTGGGGTTATCATTTTTATACCCGGCCAGTGGAGCACACAAGGGGGAGGGGGCGGGTACTGGGGGGTTTGTGATTTCTCTGCTATACATTGAAATGGAGGATCATGCTCAAATTTTTGGTATAAAGAGGGATCCATGGGACACAGCAAGCTTGGGAACCACTGTTCTAGAGTAAGACTGAATATAGTACACCAAAAGCTAGCAAGTTATTTCCAAGACTTGAATTTTAACCCTTTATCTACCGACGGTACTTATAAGTACCACTCACTTTAAACTTGCATAGAATAACTATTTTTACGAATATTCTGACGATACTTAGCAGTAATATTCTTTGAAATCCACTTTTCCAAGATATATGGCAGCACGGGTTCTATGACGAGTATTTTAGTGGGGAAGGCGAATAGTTTAATAGCACAAATTGCGTTTTCCCGCTGACAGCCCCCTCAGGGGGCTCACCTTTAGGTGGGTACGGGTGTCACAATCCCGAGGTACCCTAGTGATCTTTTCCTTTTCCCTAGGGGTTTACTATCTTTGGTAAACACGGGCGTCACGACCCCGGGGTACCCCAGTGATCCTTCTCTATTTTCGACCCTCCATCTTGTCATCCAATTTCTTTTCTTTTCCCGTCCAGACCACAGACCTATGAATATTTGGTGCAGTATAGCCAAAACTGGCTCTTGCGCCATAAAACACCAAACTCAACTCATTCCCGCTGACGGTTTTCTCCGAATTTTGAAAATTATATTTTTTGTCCGGAAAAACTATATTTTATGTCAAAATTTAAGTGTCTTATTTTGTTTGAATATTAATATGAAGAACTTAGAAAACAATTCGACGATTTATTTTAAGTGAACAGTGCCTATAATCAATTTTACAGTTGAATATCTTTAATTATTCAATTAGCTCTAACTAATTAAATTTCCCAAAGTTGAGTATTTTGTATATGTAAATCCCTTAATTTTCAATGTAGTGATTCAAAAAATATATATATATTGCATGAAAAAAACTACACTAAATCATAATGCGGTAGATAAAGGGTTAAAGAGATGTGAAGCAAATCTCGGGAAAATCATTCTAAGGTGCACAGCATCATTATCTATAGCTCGAATGTAACGAATTTTGTGCGTCTGAACCTTTTCATCTTTGCGCTACACCACACACACAGAAACTCTTCTGTTCTTTTTTCGTGGCCTTTTTTTATTATACTTCATTCTGAATATATAAATTCTGATTTTTAATACTAAGCATGTATAACCTTATATAGACGATGATTATGTTAAGTTTACTTCTAAATTGCAAAGATCACACAGAAAACACAACAGTCGGAATCTTTTAGCACACGAATAATTTTCCTCTCATCTGATGAATATTTTGAATTAACCGCATCACAATTTATAATGATAAATGACATTTTTCTTTCTTTAAGCTATACATGTTTTATTTACTCGAACACCTTAAGCTTTCATACATGAACTGCACCTAGTCATTTCTATAGATCCGAAGGATGTAATTTTCCCACATGATATTAGTTCAACACTGGTGGTCGCTCGGGTGTTGTCCACTTCTTCATGCACAACGATTGTGTGCTGTCGCTATATTTCACAGATCTGACAATATTTATGTTCACCCGATTCCCTTTGATGCTTTGTTTGACCCGGTAAGTGCCCATAACTCATTATTCTTCCTCATTCTTCTCAAACCTCTAATTTCCCTTCGTTGTTTGGTTAGAAGAGAATTGTGTTGATTGCTTTGCTCGCATTTGAAAACTTTGTTTTGTTCCAGTAATGGTTTTGCATTCTAATGTTATGTTAGAATATTTACGACGGGTGGTAACCCGTTAGACTAATGAATATAACCGGTAAACACACTGCATACTAGTCCTTAGTGGTGTAGTTAGTTTTTTTGGAAACGTTCTTAGAATGATAGAAAAGGTTTTTGAAACGTCAAAACATTGAATGGAATAGATACACCTAGTTTTACTTTGAAAAAATGGTCAGAGAACATTTTCTACACTTGCTGAATATTTGAGTCGATTCTGTACAACTATAAAGATAAAAACAATACGAAATTTGCAACAATAAAACATTTTCCATTGCTATATAAGTAAAGAATGGAAGAAAAGTATTGTACTACTTTATGCTGTGAGTGCGGGCTTTATGATCACGTGCCGGTCTCAGTCGATCAGATTACAATCAAATCATAATATTGTAGTTATCGCTTACCCCAGGGGGTAAATGATATAACTACAATAACCCCAACCTTTTTCCTCGCCGGGCCATATACATATGGCAGACACTTCCCGCGGGTCGGAATATGAGGATAAAGGGTTAAACATTATAAGACCAAGGCAATATTAGACACTTAAAATGCGGAAAATTGATCAAAATATTGAAACCCATTTTTGGGTTTTAATACTTCATGAATCTCTATCAAACACACATAAAAAAGAAATCCGGTTTTATGCAATTTCCCTTTCTTCCATGACTAAGATCCTAGTTTACATTCGATTGCCATACAAGCAAAGCTGCCATGCCGTTTGATAATTTGATTCTTTTTCTTTCGACAAAATCTCTTATTTTTATTTCAAATACTA